CACCTTCATGTTGGGACCATAAAGAAACTGCACGTGCTAGGAATTGACACAGGATTTGGCTGGTATAATTTCAGATATTTGGCTGAACTACTAGCAGAGAAGCAAAAGTTGGGACCATTCATGCAAATTTTGCCCCTATGTAGCAGACTTCTAAATCACGGTAATAGAAACTCTATCTACTGTTTTGCTCCTATGTAGTCAACTTCTAAGTCTTGTTCTCTCTTGTGAACAAACAACATTCTTTTGTTGTTGGCAATAAGCTTTGGCTGACTTTTTTTTAAAATTTAAAAAAGGGTTTTGGTTAACTCATAAACAAGTTATTGTTCAGTACAGGTTTTTCATGTATGTATAGTCATTCATGTCCTGTGACATCAGTTTGGGTTTGAGTACCCGACATCTGTGTGCTGAAGTTGGACATTTGTTCTTGCATATGTTTGTTCCAACCCATACTTGTCAATAGATGAAAAATCTATGTTCTATCTATGGTGTTGATGCGTTTTGGACTAGTAATGATACCAAATGGTGTATTCACAAAAGATTAGAAGGAACTCTAGAGTAAAGATATCTTTTTCCTGGATGATATTAAGCTGTAAAACATCTTATACTTAAAATTTCCAATTATTATAGTTTCTCTACTGAGTCCTTGAAAAGGGTTTTCGGGGGGTGGTAACTGTAGTTTCTTCTCTATACAAACATCTATTGGAAAATTTACAGTACACGGTGTGCTCATATAATCAATGTAGTGCGTTGGTTGGGAGCTGTTGTAAAATGCTTAGCCATGTTTAGACTAGTGTCAATGTTCTGATGTTCTTGCTCAAGCATAATTTGTTCTGTAATGCCACCACAGAAATCAGACGGGTGTCAGGCTTCAATCAAACTCTTGTAGATCATGAAAGACTTGAGCATGAGAGTCCATTTAGGACATTAAGTCAAAACGCAAATGGTAGACCAATGGATTTGGAGGGATGGCCAGGAATGCAAATGGAGGTAATGTTAGTTTTAGATATCGTTGATGCGTATTTTGTAATTTGTTTTACGTTCTTTTTGACCATTTTTGTTGTTTCTTGACTTCATTTTGACCATTCTGTAACTATTCATATTTGCTTGTGTGCATGACAGTGTTACCTTTATTGTTTGGTAGGATGTAATAGGATTAAATGAGTGTACTGTATGCAATACGTATTTATTTATTTTCACTTATGCGTGTTTCACAAGCTCACATGACTTTATGTCATAACCATGGTCCATTTTGTTTTGGTGGCCTTCCAAACCAAATTCCAATATGATACTGTTGATTCTACTCTACCGTTTGTAGTTGAATCACCTGCTTAGTGTCATTCTTTTTGCCACAAATTGGAGAATGGAGCAATTATGTACACCTTTATGCACATGTGCATGCGCGTCACAAGCCCATAGTTAAATAAAACACTCTTTCATGGAATATGACTTGGTGGGAAGAGAGTTATGTCTTGTGTGGTTTGTATGTATGAAACCTCATCTGTGCTACATTGTCTCATGTAGGAAAATGGACATATCCAGAGAATGGCCCCGTTTCAATCTCCTTCTATGGGTTGGCCTGGGGTGCAAGGAATTCCAACCACTCCTATTGTAAAGAGAGTTATTAGACTTGACGTTCCAGTTGACAAATATCCACATGTAAGCAAGGGGTATATGGTTTGTATAGTTGATTTTGACCTTTTTCTTTTAGTTAACAACTTCTGACTCCAAGGTTTGCAGTACAATTTTGTTGGCAGAATTTTGGGACCACGTGGGAACTCCTTAAAAAGAGTTGAAGCGATGACAGAGTGTAGGGTTTACATCCGAGGTCGGGGCTCTGTGAAGGATTCTGTAAAGGTATTGTAGTCTTTTTTCTTCGTTTACAAAAATTTTCTTGGTATTGACCATGTGATTAGGTTGGAGCAGATTAGTTGGCATGGTTGCATGAAAAATTAAGTCTTAAATGTGCCCAGTTATATTCATTTTTACAGGTACCATTTGATTTATTATACAAAATATGTTGTTCTCTTCTCTGATTGCACGTCGGATAACTATTTTCATACATAACTTATGTTTTTGTCCATTTTGACCTCTTCTCAATGTTCATATATGGCGATGTTTGTTTCCTTCTTACATATTTTATGTGAACTATGCTCTGAAGTTTTCAAATATGGGAGTCTTAATCAATCAATTAGTTATTTAGCACTAATTCCTTGTTTGGGTAAATTGCCGTTTTGGTCTCTGAACTATCACATTCAATTTACCCTCAAGTTATTTTATCAGCCAATTACAGTCTTAAATTTTATAAAAACAGCCAATGTGGCCCTTGATGTCCAGTTTTCCGAATTCCATCCAATTTGCTGTAAAAAATGGTCAAGTGGGAATAACCAAAAAAACCAAGTGGAGTTTTGGATCAAACTTCTACAACTATAAAATAATTTGTTTCTTTTCTATTTATATGTTTATTATTATAAAGTAAATGCAATATCATGTGAGTAATAGTCTGATGCAGTCCTATAAATGATACTGCTTTTTGTATTAAGGTTACCGAATAAGTTGGAATGTAATTGTTTTACCAATGATAATATACACATGTGATATGGTCATGTGTCCTTTAACACATGAACTAGTATCCTTAAGAGTTATTTTGTTTGAAAATGGTCAGGGATCCTTGTCAAGTTCCCGATTTCTTTGATATCATTCGGCTCCTCGCATATTTGCACTTTTTCTTATTATGCATGCCTTCTATTTTACCTTCAGGAAGAGAAATTAAAAGAAAAGCCTGGATATGAACATCTTAATGAGCCATTGCATGTATTGGTGGAGGCTGAATTTCCTGAGGATATAATCAATGCGCGATTGGATCATGCAGTGGCAATACTAGAAAACCTTCTGAAGCCTGTGGTATGAATAGGATTAATCATGGAGTTTTAACTCTTAATTCGTCATTTTCTTGGACCACTTGTAACCTGTGTCTTGCAGGACGAGTCCTTCGATCACTATAAGAAGCAACAGCTTAGGGAATTGGCTATGCTAAATGGTACATTGAGGGAAGAGAGTCCGAGTATGAGCCCGAGTATAAGCCCTAGCATGTCACCATTTAACAGTACAGGAATGAAACGAGCCAAGACAGGAAGATAACTCGTATAAACATGATTAATTGTTTTGATCACTGAAACAGTAGCGTCTGACTCGTCGAAGACCTTGTGGCATCTTGATAATTTTGACTTCCAAAACCGTGAGAAGCTGTGTTGACAAACTGATGAACTAATTTTGGGCTCTTTGTTTGGCTTCTCATAGGGTTCAACCGCTGCGTTAGTTCTGTGCAACATACTTCTACGTGCAGTAATATATTCTTTCATGTGTTATCCCATTGATAGCCAACACATTATTCTTTAGTTATTGTAGCTTATAGCCCCTTAGCTTATAGGCTCCCCTTGTTTGATTTTTCTATCATCTTCCAGCAGCTTATTGTAGCTTACAACCCCTTAGCTTATTGTTGTTTATAGGCAAATGCTAAATTTTATTGTTATTTTACATGCGTATGTGCTCTTGCTCATAAAATAAAAAATAAAAAAAGTTCAGATGGGTTTCTTGTTTATGCCATCGTGTTATGGCTTCTACGTGCCACTGTTACCATTTCTAGAAATGTAAAATTTTCTTTGATGCTGCAGCTGCCATGACTGATGAATGGTTCATACTCATCGGTAATTGAAATGAATTGCATATTAATCGTTGTACAACATCCCAACAAGGATAATCCCCAAACACAATAATACATTTATAAATGCCTTTTATGATGCTCAACGCATCTCAAAGATTCAACACTACTTTCCTTTAAGGCCATGGATCAAATGTGTTATTACTAAGCATCATTACCAGGAGTCACATGTTGCACCGAAAAATAAGTGTTGATCTTTTAACTTTGGGGGGTTTTCAGGCCGAATAGAAAGAGCAGATTTTAAAAAGTTTAAAGACAGCCAAGCATCATCTCCCAGGAGTCTCACATCTTTCAGCACCAAAATGAAGTGTTGTTGATCTTATCATTTCCAAGAGTTTTCAAGCCAAATAGAAAGAAGAAAATGAATGTAAAAAGTTTAAATCAGTCAGCTCGCTTCGCTAAGGTACCTTTCATTTACTTTAAAAGGCAAGGCAATACGCAATAGAAGTTTATTGAAATTGATCTTTGCCATATGAGTGTTGAAAGGGAGAGACTGAATCAGCCAGATGAAAGAAGAGGAGGAGGAAACAGTCAGTACAACTATGTACTCCAAAACTTTGAAGCACTTGTCAGCATTTGTTGCACTGTCAAAATGGAGCACAGACGAACATAAGCTCTGATAACCATCTTTGCCATACGAATCTAATCTTATGATCAGACAGCATGCAAAAACAGAACAAGACCGTTTTGAAAGAGCTATAAAGACATCCATAGATCACTTCCAAACTAAGATAGCAAAAACCTACAATCTTTTCAAGAAGCTCAATCGAATGATGATTCAAAAAGTATAGGCTGCATAAGAAGCCCAAAAATTTGGGTAAAGAACAGATATAATACAAAAACTTATTGCTAAAAACATGCACTACTGCTGTAAAAATGTCTGCAAATTAAATAGGCGGCTCAAAGCTGCGTAATATTTCATTTCCTCTACAAGAACACAATATGGAAATCACAAAATGATCACATGGAAAGAGAAAACATGAAATTAGCGTGTGCTGGTAACTCATCCATAACATAAAAGATTTGCCTGGAATACTGTAATATCAAATTTCTTCTGAAAGTAAAAAGGCTCATTATGGAAAGCATAAAATGATCAAAAGAAAACGAACAACTTTAAACGTTAAAAGTGATCCTACTATCTAGGTCAAGATAACTAGGAATAACAGTCTTCAAAATCTCCGATCAATAGTTTTCCAATTAAGAAAGACGTCCTGGACTGGCAAATTGTACTACTCGTCATTTTCAAATAACCTCCACACTGAACCGTTAAATAGTAAACCATCTTGAACACAGGTGCATAAAACAGTATAATTTCATGCCTGCTTTTCATAACAATGACGTCTTATTAAGACATTAAAAATTAGTAAAACTTTACTCAAATGAAGAACAAATTGGCTTGGATGTGATAGCTTAGCCTCAATAAACTCAATTGTACTTTCGTCAATAGGTCTTGCAGGTGTCCCCAACAAAATGTGCAACAGAATGGTTCCCACACCAGAAGCATCATCTACCAAATACATGAACACTATCCTTGATTTACTCTCAAAATAATTGAAGTTTCTTCCTTTTTTTCTACACCCACGCACGCTTACACAACATGTGTTGGGAAATATCACACTACATAAGGCAGAATGATAGAACAATATTTGTATCAAGCACAAGTTTATGTCATCTTATTCATGCCAGCCAATGAAAAGCAGATGGCGTCAATGACTAATACGACTTAAAGTTATCTCAAAATTATATCAAGATTCAAACAACTTGTCAGGACTATGATGTTAGTCGAACATGTGAATTCAAAATTCAAGGTCAGCATTCATACAAAATAATATTCTTTCCTTAGCTCACATATCACATGAAATCATATTAAAAAAACAAAACAGAAAAGCAAGAAGAAAAAAAATTACATTTGATGATTGATAAGATTACAAATGTCACAATTGACAGAAATTATCTAACCTCAACCCCGGACACAAAACTGCAATCCTGATTATGGGAGTGAGTTTTTCAAATACAAAAGCCATTCAAGCCTGCAAAACAAAGATACCCCAAACTTAAAAACCAGGATATGGAGACAATACGAGACATTGATACCAACTTTCCAAACTTAAAAACCAGGATACAGTAAGAAAGGGATGCACCAAGAAAGATATAAATACTTGCACACATTCTGGTACACAATAAGAATAGTCGCATCAAACAAGCATGCCCTCACACTTTAGTCCTCAAAAGAAAAAAGAAAAAAAAAGGGAAAGAAGTAAACATAATAGCATTCAAGTTATGCCAACATGTGTGCACAAGTATTCAACAAGTTTAATTGAACTTGTGATTAAAAAATTTATTTTAAGAGTTTGTATATGATTCCGCATAACACCCAGGGGTATCCAGAATATACCAAATCATCAATATTCAGTACACAAATATGGTAAATAAGTGATGCAAACAGAAAAGAGGTACAGGCCCCTCACAACAACCAAAGAACTGATGATACTCAAAACATCATAGGTCCCCAGATTCTAAAGGGAAATCAAAGGAAAGCCTGTAGGATAGTTTGGAAACTGATAAGATCTCAAACTGTAGGATAGTTTGAAAAACTGATAAGATCTTAAAGCCTGTTAGAGAAAAAGAAAAAAAATTACTCATGCAATGTTTGCATTGTTGATGCCAATTACCATAAAGTGATGTCCCTAAACCAATTTTGAAAAGAAAGAAATAACACTTTGCACATTGAAAAGCTGAAAACAAAAAGATAGGAGGCACACCATGACTTTAATTAACTCCAAGTTTTTCAATCCCGAAGACCAAGTTCAAGCTCAAGTTCATCATCCTCTTCAAACAACTTCAAAAGACGGGCATACTGTTCTTCTCGTTTCTTCTTTTGCCATAGCTTGAAAAGGAAAAAGGAGAACAATGCAACTACTACAAGTCCGAGGAATATGATGGCCAACGTAGATCCAGTGTGACTGGAAGTAGAATGCGTCTCAGCTTTTTTATCATTTTTGGAACTCGATGAATCATCAGAAATTCCTGAAATAAAAGTCCCCAGAGATAAAAGATCTCGTCTTGTTTACATGAGAAACAATTAATCATATAATATCATCAAAAAAGGCATCATATATCATTCCTTGATAATATCGCCTAGTCTACGGTAAGTTCGGTTTTTAAGACTTGAAGTAATAGCACATCAATTTGATCGTATAATGCTTACAGGATGCTTCAACGCCAAGAATCTTAAAACATAATTAATTTGCAGACACCAAAGCAAGCACTTAAACGTTTGGATGTTGCAACATATTTAGTTTATTTTTTCATTTTCCAAAGTTTTTAAGCCACTACACTCAACCATAGATTTCTATTACGATTGCAAATACTACAATTCCAAAATCCAGCTATAGTACTTGGATTCCACAAAACCAGATAATCCACATACACATAACACTTTAAATAATGACTATGTTGGGTTTGCATCAGGTGGGTTTTTATTTAATAATAACAAACAAGACAAAGAACAAAAACAAATTTGGAACTTTCATTCTAGTTTTATCAGAAACCAAACATTTGAAATAAGTGATCTGAAACGGACCCCTAAAGCAACTTCAAAGAGAATTTCAATAGAATTATAAAAAAACTAACAGAACAATTAAATAAAGACAAATAATTACGCTTGCTATATAGAATACATATATAAATTAAAGCATGATACAGAAAAATTAAAGCGCAAAAAAATGGAATGGAATGGAATGTAAAGTTCAACAATTTTAAAATTGAAGCGAGATTTCAGAAGCCCAACCTGGGATGAATTGTAGAGAAATTGAAGCCAATAATACAAACAAACTCAACGATCTGCAGCCACAAATTTCACTCATCTCTCCAGAAGTCTCTGTGAAACTTTCCCTCTCTCTCTCTCTCTCTCTCTCTCTCTCTCTCTCTTTCTCTGTGTCAAGGTTTTCTCTTTGGAGAGATCGCTCTCCCTTCACGCTACCACGCTTTGCGTGTTTTTTTCTCTTTTGTTCTTTTCTTCCTTTTTGAAATCTTTTCATTTTCAAAACACGAATAATAACGAAAGCCTTTTTCTAGTATTGTCCACATGTTCTCCATATTTCTAATTCCACCCTCGTTTAAAGGTCTTCAAGCGACGAAACCACCCATTTTTTTAATTTTTAATTTTTTAAATTAAATAAAAAAGTTTACTTGCGCAGTATCTCGCTTTGATGGAATTTTTAAAAAATAGAATTTGACGTAGTATTGCTTTTTTTTAAACTCCTAGCTACAGTCCAAGTGTGATCTGCGCAATTTTTTCATATCACTCTTGCTATATAGGTATGGAAAAAATGTTAGCACTAGAGTTAGAAATTCTCGCGTAATTGTGATTCTTTATAAGATTTTAATTATAATTTTCTCATATCATAGAGTCATAGGAATGTACTTCTTGATTTGGTTGAAAGCTTCTTGATGGCAACATTCCCCGAAAATTCAATATCCTAGGGCAGTTGTGGGAAAATGCTATTCTCAAGAAAGGAAATCCAAATCCAAGTCCCATGCCCAGCCACTCATCTCCACTTTATTACACACGAACATTGTATTTTGCAAAAATAGTCCATAGTCCATTTCTCATACACATTCACAAAGACACGGGTAAAATACACGTTTTCGTAAGATCTTGGTTTACCATATCCAAAAAGGAACTACTTGATAATACTGTTCTCAGCTGCTAGTTGTTCACAGTAACATTGACAAGAAAATAAGCATACATCTGATGAGAAGATTGTATCATATAGCATTTTAAATGTCTAAACCATTCTCCAAAATCAAACTGCAAAAACATGGATTATAAATTATACTCGTCACTCAAAGACACAAAAGGCTTAACTTTGTCCAAAATAGACCACTGAATCGAACCCTAACAAAAAAAGATGGACAGACCAAAAACACACCCTTGCAGTAAGGGATTAGATATTTCACTTAAAGCACTTGGCATCCAACAGAGCCTCGCCCTCAAAAGGCTCCTGGTCTTCAATCACCTGGTTGACACGCTCCTTCTGGTTTTCATCTGAAAGGTCAACCTTTGTCCAATTGTAGAGCTCCATGTCATAGCACTCCTCCATCACAAATGGAGGAATTTCTTGCCCACGGAAGAGCCACAATCCCTTCACCTTAAATGGTGGCTCTGAGCCTATCACTAGCATCTTCCCAAAAGCATACTTGCGGGCCAGATCCATGCGCTGAAGAAATCCACCGACCTTGTTCAGTGTCACAAATGATACAGTATTTTCATCATTGTACTTGTACTCACAGAACCAAAGAGAATATCCCTCAGGATCGTACATGTCCCAGAATCCTGCAAAAAGCAAGGAAACAAGGATATAAATATCTATTCTAGGTTAACAAACCCAACTGATGTTTTGGACTTCCTACATTCCAAAGAGGAGCCAACGTCAAGCAAACCAAATTATTTCAATGTTTCTAAATTTTGAGAACATAATCCGAATAGAGTACTCCTAAAGTAATATATGTGACAGAAATGGTCCCATGACAATATCAGTTGGAGCAGCCGAGCCTGGCTTGTGTGGATCAACTAACACCACCGAATGTTTAAGTGTGATGACAATAACCAAGCATTGAGATAATTACCTTTAATAGCAACCTCACGGAAGTTGGTCTTTGTGTTAGAGTAAAGTCTCTTCCAGTCATCCAATACCATATTACTTGGGGGCAGCAGATCAAGAGGATTCTTGGGTTTTGGCTTTGGTGCCTCTTCCACTTCCTCAGCAGCTTCTGCTTTAGGTTTTGCTGGCTCCTTTTTGGCTTCTTTCTTGGGCTCCTCCTTGGCCTTGGATTTAGTTTCTTTGGGCTGGGAAGGCTTCTTTGCAGATGGAACAGGTGGAACAGATTCAGTCTGCTTGACATCACCCAATACCTTTTTGAATTTTGGTTGATTGACCAGTGTCCAGAAGTATCTCTCAACATGGGGGAATTCCGAAGTGAAGCTCTTTGTCATGAGCTTGGTGAACCCAAAAAACAAATTGCATGTGACAATAATGTCAGCAAGAGTTACAAAATGCCCAACTAGGTAGGTGTTCGAAGCAAGATGGGTGTTCAAGGCACCTAGCGCTCTCTTTAAAGCAGAAATCGCAGCTTCCTCAGCCTAAATAGAAAACATAAAAATTAAATGCCAAACAGACTCCATCATAATTCACACAAAAGCAAAGTAGACAGACTCCAATGAACCATCAAGGCAGCAGGAATGAATGGGGGATCATAAAAAACTAGATTATCTAGACTGTAAATCAGGTCATTATATCAGAGAAAAAGAATTCACACAACAATTTAGTCATACGTGTGCCTTTAGATTTTAATGGTCCATTTAAACCAAGGGAGAGAACATGATTGCATTTGTGACTTTCACACCAAACTGCATCCCTTGCTACAGGCCTTACGAAGCCCAACTAGCATAGTGGAAAAATAATTAACATAATCCATTTTTCTCTACTCTGTTGCCCTACTACTAAAGACAAATATAGGTCTATTCTTGTCTCTATTTTAAATGATCAAATGTCTTAAAAGAATAAACAAAATAGGCGCATGATCCAACATCAAAAAAACAAGTTCAAGAATATGTAACTTACCGGAGGAAGGTACACAGCATATCCGAATCTTGGTCTAAACCAGCTAATTATGTTAGCATCAATCTCCAATGATCCAAAATCAATCCATTGCTCGATATGGGCCTAATAAATAACATATAATAGTAAGCATAACAAAGGGCAGAACATCACAAGCAGGTTCACTCATACGGATTGAGACAAATTAAAACGCATAAAATAAAATTGCACTCGAGCCTCGAGGTTTACACACAAAAAAACAACAGACAGAAATAGAGTTGCTTACATAATCAATCAGAGAAGAACCAATAAGAGGATTGTCAGCCTTCAAGCGAGCAACTGAAGCCAGACATAAACAAAGTTAATTTACAGTACACTAATAAGATTTTATAAACGTAATTAGATAAACAGTATAGCCTTACCATAACGTGCAATGGCATTACTCTCAAAGATGGGACCATCAGGTGTTTCCAGCAGGGGAACCTAGAATTATATCATAGAACCATTAAAACATAAACCCAAACCAGCATTTAATTTAATAAATAGAAATCACACAACAGTCTACCTTCCCAATAGGGTTTAACTTCAAATATTCAGGAGTCTTGTTGGTGACACCCATCTCAAAATCAGGTGCAAGTTCAACTTTTACACCAGTGTACTCCGCAACTATGAGCGTCTTGAAAGCATTTTTGTTTGTCTTCCCTGCATGCAAGACCTGCAAAGTAGATCATACAGATCTATTAGTAAAGGAAGACCAGAAAATTGTTACTGATGACAAATAGCTGAAATCAAAAGCATATCAAGCTATTTCCACAGAGGATAAAATAAACTGTAACAGACTCAAATTCAGTGACAGAAAAAAAAACAAACCCCCAAAATTGCATGCGTTCAGATGGGTTTATAATATTATTTTTAATATTCTATCAATACTATCAGATCAAAAAACATTTAGTGCAAATAAAGTTTGATTCTGAAAACAAATCCGACTAAGAAGATTTAAAATTGACTTGTATCCAACATCAAGGGGAAAAACAAATCACACATGATCTTAGAATTAAGAACTTTTAAGATGAAACCAAACATAAATCGACCACTATGAACGATAAGACATGAACTGCAGTAAAAGCAGAGACAATTCACATTAAAACGCCCAAAGAAACAAACTCACCAGAGCCATGGCTTTTGCGGAAAAACGTTTCGCTCTGACTTGAGATCTGAAACATGCAAAGCCAAAATTGAAGTCTTCTGTTCAGTAATTGATAACAATAAAAAAGATAGAGAAGAGAAGTTTTTCTCTAGAAATTCAACTCGCAGAGAAAGAAAGAGAACGAGGGAGAGACCTGTGAGGCGGAGCGTTCTTCCGTGAGAGCACAAGTGATGCAAATGAGTGAGAGAGCAAGAGACAATATACTGCTAGGGTTTTTGTTGCGACTGAAAATGACTATAGGCGTTTATGGGTCGGGGCATATTTCAATCCAGCCAACCATCCGACCCAAATTAAGCCCACCGCGCCACGAAGATAATATCTTGGATATTCAATTTCCTCTTGACACATCCAATAACTTTTCTATTTTCTTCTAAATATAATAACGTACCATTTAAAATATTAAAATATAGTGTTGTTGTATTTGAACTAATTTACATTTCGGAGTTAGTTGTATTCAATTTCCGCTCGGCTATACTATTTCTTAAAAAATAAAAAATAAAAAAATAAAAACTCGAGTAAAGCCGTACGGTTATAAGATTTTGATAAAAAATAAAAAAAGTCCCGGCTTGCGCCCGGGCACCCACGTGTAAAAGAGTTTTAAAAAAATACCCGGGTATAGCCGAGCGGCTATACTATTTTTGAAAATACATGAGAGTATAGCCGGACGGCCATGCTATTTATAGGGAAAAAAGGACCCTCCTAGGTGCCCACGTGTCAACACAGGTATAGCCGCGCGGCTATACGATTCATGGGAATAAAAGGACCACCTAGCGCGGCTAGAATATTTGTTTTTTAAAATTACCGTGGTAAAGCCGCGCGGCTGTTATTTTTCATCACCTTCTTATATAGCCCATGAAATTTTGCCAACTATATTTTCCATGTTTTGGTATGAACTATATTTTCCATTGTTCTTGCAACTTTGGACCAATTGCTCACTCTCATAATGGTTTTGGACAAGTGAAGAGTGGATATGTATTTACTCATGGAGAAGATAACACTTCAAATGGGGTCTCAAAATTTGAACCAAAGTTGACAATAATCATTGGTCAAAACCAAATTTACCATCAACAAATCGAATATGTGCATTGTAAAAAAACAAAAAAAACACCCACAAACACATATTCGAGAAAGAAAAAAAAAATCTTGCACATTGGTATATAGGGTTCTGATGATTCAAATGATAACAAAAAAATTGTTGCTGCAACTGCAAATACAAGATATTAATCTACTCTTACTTGTGTTGTCTAAAGCTCCTCAATTTTCTCTCTCCCAGGACCAGGCATATCAAATTTTGTAGTATTTAGTTCTGGAAAAGCAATACCAGGATCCTTACCCTCTTTCATGTCCCGCCTAATTCTCTCTACTCTGTCAAGCACTCCCTTAACTGCTATGTCAAATGCATCTTCAACTGTCTCCAATCTTGGTGCTCTTGGATCGGCATATATTACCCTTGGGATCAACCTTATAAGTTATAACCTCCTCTCTCATTGCTGATACTTGACGCTTGGAAATTCTATGCAATGTCTCATTGATCATCACCTTTTGGTCCCTGATATCTTTTTCTGATATGAACACAGAGTATTTGGATGGGGTGTCGGGGAAATGCCACAAGTACTGCACATAAGCCGAACCGGGATGGAAGAAAACTGGAATGCAGCCTGCCAAGATGGAATCAAACGTTGATCGCCGCGTGTATGAGTCCCCCGAAGGCTGCAAGCAAAAAACTGATGCTTCAAATACCTTCATCACATTTAGGGGGTCATCACACTTGTTTGCACCACCGTGGCAGCCTACAAGTTTGCACAAGGATGAAGATTGGCATTTTAAATGTCTAAACCACTCTCCAAAATCAAACTGCAAAAACATGGATTATAAATTATACTTGTCACTCAAAGACACCAAAGACTTAACTTTGTCTAAAATAGACCACGGAATTGAACCCTAACAAAAAAAGATGGACAGACCAAAAACACACCCTTGCTAGTGATTAGATATTTCACTTAAAGCACTTGGCATCCAACAGAGCCTCGCCCTCAAAAGGCTCCTGGTCTTCAATCATCTTGTTGACACGCTCCTTCTGGTTTTCATCTGAAAGGTCAACCTTCGTCCAATTGTAGAGCTCCATGTCATAGCACTCCTCCATCACAAATGGAGGAATTTCTTGCCCACGGAAGAGCCACAACCCCTTCACCTTAAATGGTGGCTCTGTGCCTATCACTAGCATCTTCCCAAAAGCATACTTGCGGGCCAGATCCATGCGCTGAAGAAATCCACCGACCTTGTTCAGTGTCACAAAGGATACAGTATTTTCATCATTGTACTTGTACTCACAGAACCAAAGAGAATATCCCTCAGGATCGTACATGTCCCAGAATCCTGCAAAAAGCAAGGAAGCAAGGATATAAATATCTATTCTAGGTTAACAAACCCAACTGATGTTTAGGACTTTCTACATTCCAAAGAGGAGCCAACGGCAAACAAACCAAATTATTTCAATGTTTCTAAATTTTGAGAACATAATCCGAACAGAGTACTCCTAAAGTAATATACGTGACAGAAATGGTCCCATGACAATATCAGTTGGGGAAGCCGAGCCTGGCTTGTGTGGTCACCTAACACCACTGAAAGTTTAAGTGTGATGACAATAACCAAGCATTGAGATAATTACCTTTAATAGCAACCTCACGGAAGTTGGTCTTTGTGTTAGAGTAAAGTCTCTTCCAGTCATCCAATACCATACTACTTGGGGGCAGCAGATCAAGAGGATTCTTGGGTTTTGGCTTTGGTGCCTCTTCCACTTCCTCAGCAGCTTCTGCTTTGGGTTTTGCTGGCTCCTTTCTGGCTTCTTTCTTGGGCTCCTCCTTGGCCTTGGATTTAGTTTCTTTGGGTTGGGAAGGCTTCTTTGCGGATGGAACAGGTGGAACAGATTCAGTCTGCTTGACATCACCCATTACCTTTTTGAAGTTTGGTTGATTGACCAGGGTCCAGAAGTATCTCTCAACATGGGGGAATTCCGAAGTGAAGCTCTTTGTCATGAGCTTGGTGAACCCCCAAAACAAATTGCATGTGACAATAATGTCAGCAAGGGTTACAAAATGCCCAACTAGGTATGTGTTCGAAGCAAGATGGGTGTTCAAGGCACCTAGTGCTCTCTTTAAAGCAGAAATCGCAGCTTCCTCAGCCTAAATAGAAAACATAAAAATTAAACGCCAAACAGACTTCATCATAATTCACACAAAAGCAAAGCAGACAGACTCCAATGAACCATCAAGGCAGCAGGAATGAATGGGGGATCATAAAAAACTAGATTATCTAGACTGTAAATCAGGTCATTATATCAGAGAAAAAGAATTCACACACCAATTTAGTCATATGTGTGCCTCTAGATTTTAATGGTCCATTTAGACCAAGGGAGATAACAAGATTGCATTTTCTGACTTTCACACCTAACTGGATCCCTTGCTACAGGCCTTACAAAGCCCAACTAGCATAGTGAAAAAATAATTAACATAATCCATTAATCTCTACTCTGTTGCCCTACTACTAAAGACAAAGATAGGTCTATTCTTGTCTCTATTTTAAATGATCAACTTGAATTAAGTCTTAAAAGAATAAACAAAATAGGCGCATGATCCAAAGTCAGAAAACAAGTTCAAGAATATGTAACTTACTGGAGGAAGGTACACAGCAGATCCGAATCTTGGTTTAAACCAGCTCATTATGTTAGCATCAATCTCCAATGATCCAAAATCAATCCATTGCTCGATATGGGCCTAATAAATAACATATAATAGTAAGCATAAAAAAGGGCAGAAGCATCACAAGCAGGTTCACTCATCAGGATTGAGACAAATTAAAACACATAAAATAAAACTGCACTCGAGCCTCGAGGTTTACACACAAAAAAACAACAGACAGAAATAGAGTTGCTTACAGAATCAATCAGAGAAGAACCAATAAGAGGATTGTCAGCCTTCAAGCGAGCAACTGAAGCCAGACATAAACAAAGTTAATTTACAGTACACCAATAAGATTTTATAAACGTAATTAGATAAACATTATAGCCTTACCATAACGTGCAATGGCATTACTCTCAAAGATGGGACCATCAGGTGTTACCAGCAGGGGAACCTAGAATTATATCATAGAACCATTAAAACATAAACCCAAACCAGCATTTAATTTAGTAAATAGAAATCACACAACAGTCTACCTTCCCAATAGGGTTTAACTTCAAATATTCAGGAGTCTTGTTGGTGACACCCAGCTCAAAGTCAGGTGCAAGTTCAACTTTTACACCAGTGTACTCCGCAACTATGCGGGTCTTGAAGCCATATTCGTGTCCCTTCACTGCATACAAGACCTGCAAAGTAGATCATACATATCTATTAGTAAAGGAGGACCAGAAAATTGTTACTGATGACAAATAGCTGAAATCAATAGCATATCAAGCTATTTCTACAGAGGATAATATAAACTGTAACAGACTCAAATTCAGTGACAAAAAGAAAAACAAACCCCCAAAATTGCATGTGTTCAGATGGGTTTATAATATTATTTTTAATATTCCACCAATACTATCAGATCAAAAAACATTTAGTGCAAATAAAGTTTGATTCTGAAAACAAATCCGACTAAGAAGATTCAAAATTGACTTGTATCCAACATCAAGGGGAAAAACAAATCACACATGATCTTAGAATTAAGAACTTTTAAGATGAAACCAAACACAAATCGACCACTATGAACGATAAGACATGAACTGCAGTAAAAGCAGAGACAATTCACAATAAAACGCCCAAAGAAACAAACTCACCAGAGCCATGGCTTTTGCGGAAAAACGTTTCGCTCTGACTAGAGATCTGAAACATGCAAAGCCAAAATTGAAGTCTTCTGTTCAGTAATTGATAACAATAAAAAAAGATAGAGAAGAGAAGTTTTTTCTCTAGAAATTCAGTGAGAGAGCAAGAGACAATATAGAAGAGGGTTTTTGTTGCGACTGAAAATGACTATAGGCGTGTATGGGTCGGGTCATATTTCAATCCACCCTACCATCCGACCCAATTTAACCCCACCGCGCCACCAAGATAATATCTTGGATATTCAACTTCCTCTTGACACATCCAATAACTTTTCTATTTTCTTCTAAATATAATAAAGTACCATTTAAAATATTAAAATATAGAGTAGTTGTATTTGAACTAATTTACACTTCGGAGTTGTTGTATTCAATTTCCGCTCCGCTATACTATTTCGTAAAAAATAAAATAAAATAAAATAACTCGAGTCCAGCCGCACGGCTATACGATATACGGCTATACTAATTTTTTGTCTAAAAAAGCCCGATTGTGAGAGTTTAGCCGCACGGCTATATGGTTTAGCCACGTGTCAACACAGGTATAGCCGCGAGGCTGTACTATTTATTTAAAAAAACCAAATGCAGCCGCATGGCTGTACTATTTTTAAAAGAAAAAACCCGAATATAGCCGACCGGCTATACTATTAGTTAACAAAAAGTCAACCACGTGTAAAACAAGTATATCCACGCCGCTATACTAATTGTGGAGAAAAAGGCAACCACGTGTAAAACAATTATAGCCACTCGGCTATACTATTAATGGGAATAAAAGGACCGCCCAGCTAAGTAAAAACTTGTATAGCCGCGCGGCTATACTATTTATTTTTTAAAATTACCACGGTAAAGCCGCGCGGACGATATTTTTCATCACCTTCTTATATAGCCCTTGAAATTTTGCCAACTATATTTTCCATGCTTTGGCCTGAACTATATTTTCAATTGTTCTTGCCGCTTTGGACCAATTAATCACTCTCATAATGGTTTTGAACAAGTGAAGAGTGGATATGAATTTACTCATGGAGAAGATAACACTTCAAATGGGGTCTCAAAATTTGAACCAAAGTTGACAATAATCATTGGTCAAAACCAAATTTACCATAAACAAATCGAATATGTGCATTGTAAAAAAAAATTAAACCCACAAACACATATTTGAGAAAGAAAAAACAAATCTTGCACATTGGTATATAGGGTTCTGATGATTCAAATGAAAACAAAAAAATTGTTGCTGCAACTGCAAATACAAGATATTAATCTACTCTTTCTTGTGTTGTCTAAAGATCCTCAATTTTCTCTCTCTCCCAGGACCAGGCATATCAAATTTTGTAGTGTTTAGTTCTGGAAAAGCAATACCAGGATCCTTACCCTCTTTCATGTCCCGCCTAATTCTCTCTACTCTGTCAAGCACTCCCTTAACTGCTATGTCAAATGCATCTTCAACTGTCTCCAATCTTGGTGCTCTTGGATCTGCATATAATACCCTTGGGATCAACCTTATAACCTCCTCTCTCATTGCTGATACTTGACGCTTGGGAATTCTATGCAATGTCTCATTGATCATCACCTTTTGGTCCCTGATATCTTTTTCTGATATGAACACAGAGTATTTGGATGGGGTGTTGGGGAAATGCCACAAGTACTGCACATAAGCCGAACCGGGATGGAAGAAAACTGGAATGCAGCCTGCCAAGATGGAATCAAACGTTGATCGCCGCGTGTATGAGTCCCCCGAAGGCTGCAAGCAAAAAACTGATGCTTCAAATACCTTCATCACATTTAGGTGACGCTTGGGAATTCTATGCAATGTCTCATTGATCATCACCTTTTGGTCCCTGATATCTTTTTCTGATATGAACACAGAGTATTTGGATGGGGTGTTGGGGAAATGCCACAAGTACTGCACATAAGCCGAACCGGGATGGAAGAAAACTGGAATGCAGCCTGCCAAGATGGAATCAAACGTTGATCGCCGCGTGTATGAGTCCCCCGAAGGCTGCAAGCAAAAAACTGATGCTTCAAATGCCTTCATCACATTTAGGGGGTCATCACACTTGTTTGCACCACCGTGGCAGCCTACAAGTTTGCAAGAGGTTGAAGATTGACATTGGTTTATAATCATGTCCCTGATACCATCTTTCGAATCAGGTCTTGCAGCACCAGCAAAGGAGAAGAGGTGCCGCCTTTTCCTCTTTCTCATTCTTCTCTGCCACTCAAACACCTCACTGTCCTTGGAGGGATGGAAGTATGTTGGGTATGGTATTGCCTGCTCATTGTTCCAGCAGCTGGATTCGATCGACAACAATGTCATGTTCTTGGCTTCAGGTAAGAACATAAGCTTGGAACCCCAAGCAGAGTCCTTGTCTGTTTGCCTCCTGAAATCCCAAGCAATCCTTCCTCCAACTAAGAAATGGTCTCTTCCCCACATTTTTTTCCATTCCGGCCTATGCGAAAGCCACTTCACAAATTCTAGAGGAGAAGCATCTCTCATTGATATGTTATAGTCCCAGAGGTATCGTCCCACATCAAGGCCAGGGTAAAAGGGTACAAAGACAGCAGAGGCCAATGATGAATCATTGGTTAAACACTTGTACTGCTTCATCCTGTTGTGAAAAATAACTTCCAATAAAAACTGGTTTGTAGCAAACCAACCATTTCCAACTAGCTGCTTTTTAGAATTCTTAATTCTAGGACCAAGTCCCATGTTTGATATGTAGGGGCACATATCAGTCCATCTCTGAAGTGAATGGCAATTTTTGAGCAAGTCCTGGTTGAACCTCTTAGGAAGATTATGAACATAAATATATCGACCCGAACACGAATCAGAAGCAGAATCAGAGATATTCTTCCCAATCCCACTAGACATAGGTTGTACTGGTGGATTATTGATCACAACAGACTTGACAGTATTATTATTTGCCGTAGTAGTTGAATTTGTGACATCAAGGGTCAGCCAACTCTTGCTTTCATTGGGTGATGATGATGTTGGAGTTGTATGATCTTGATGAGGAGGAGAGCTAGAATGGTCTTGGTTGACAATTACATTTGCAGAGTTGGTGATATAATAGGTGACCCCTTGTATATTTCGTCCAGCACTTAGAGCAGAATAGTCTGATAAAAGCAATATGAAGACAAAAAGAAATGAAGCTATTAGGACAAACCAGAGTTGACTACGGCACTTTACGGCAATCGACGATTTCTCCATGAAAACCTGCAGCCTCTTCTTCATCAGTTTTGATCATATGAACACTTCATGAGATTAACAAGAGAGAGAGAGAGAGAGAGAGAGAGGAAAAAGTTGCAAGAAATGAATTGTCGAAGAAGGAAAGGAAGTGTTAATAGGTTGACGTTCCCATTAATACAGTTAACTATGGTATTATATGAAACCTTCTAATGCATTCATTTTCAGAATCTTCAGAGGAAATCATATAAATAAATAATTGACTGAGAATGAGCAATTGAACATGGTAAGAATCATGGAGTCTTTATTTCTGACCATTGGATTGATTTTTTTGGATTTGGGAGAGAAAAAGAATAAAAATGATGACTTGGTCTTAATTTGAGGGTTGAGCTAGAAGAATTGCATAAACAACCAACTCATGAAAATCCATATATGTATGTATCATTCTGGTGAAGGCGGTTTGTTTTACTCTTTATCCTTTACTGTGCACTACCAAGAATTTTCCACAGAAAAACAGATTCCAATTTAGAAGACTCAACATATATGGTGTTCACATATTTAACCAGCATCCTGATTGACATCCAATTAATTATCAAAAATCGACAGTCAATTGTAAAAGGGTAATTTTTCTTTTCAATTGAAAGTCAACTCAGAGTAATTATATAAAGTATTTTACCGTACTGCTATTGGGATGATTCTCTTTTTTTTGGTAGTCTTTTGTCCGTTTGATCTAATAAACTTTTTTTTTTTTAATAAAGAAAGAGAATCGAAACCAAGTCTAATCCTAACTGGAGTAACATAAAACTTATTACTTTCTAAACATCGGATTTTATTTTTGGATCTGTGAGAAAATAATGATTTGGTCTTAACTCAAGGGTTGAGCTAGAATGATTTTGCCTTAATTTTGCAATATATTTTTCCATATAGTTTCTATTTATAAACAGATTTGCAAGAATGAACTATAAGAGGTAAATTTTGATAGCATGAGTTAATTTTTGTTACTTATTTTTCCCTTGAAAATAAAAAAACACAAACAAAAGCTTTCCGAAAGTTAGATAATATACGGAATATCCTTCTTTTAAGATCTTTGTATCAACAAAAGCTTTCCGAAAGTTAGATAATATACGGAATATCCTTCTTTTAAGATCTTTGTATCAACTAGTCTTTGGTTGATCTAGTGATATCTGTTTCCATTTGATTGAATGAGGTCTCATATTCGACCAGTAACTGACAAAAATGCATAAAATATTGTATATTACAAGATTAAATTGGAACATTTTTTGTTAGAAAAATAAAGAACTCATGTTGTTGTGCATTGTTTGGGAAGCAAAGAGAAACTTTGGAAGCCGCCATGTTTGAAGTAATGAGCGCCGGACTGATTCATCCAGTTGATGAATCAACTCTGTAGACATGTCAAGCCAATCAAATTTGAAGAGTCACATTCATATAACCTAAAAAATAATCCTATCAAACCATAATTTTGATTGTTACGTGCCTTTTGTCCTGTGATTTTTTTTTCTCTGTTCCAACATTTTTATTTGCTTATAAATTATCTTGGACAATTTTTTTTCTTTCAATTATCATAATTTTCATATAATAAATATTTGAACCATTTGTTTTATATGACAACTCCATTCGTAGGGATGGCAATGGGTCGAATCAGAGGTGGGTATGTCATTCTCATCCCCATCCCCATCCCCATTAAGCTTTTTTCCCTTATCCCTGCCTTCATACCCGTAATATTCATATCGGGGATTCCTCATCCCCACCTTCGTTGGGGAATGGGTTCCCCGACCCAACCCATTACGAAAGAGCTACTAAACGAACCCTAAAATTAACTGAGTACACCTTACTACAAAAATATATATTGAATTACTGATTTACCCTAATATAAAATGACCAAAAAGGATATGTGGAATTATGAAACAAATATAATTTTAATAAGTACACCTTATTAACCATATTCAGCCCTAATTAAGAGATTACTTGATTCTCATCTTTGTGATCCGCGAGTCAGAATGGCTTGGAGCAGATGAAGCTTTCCTTCTTTCTTCTCAGAACTATTTCTTGGCAACTTGGATTAATTGGTTGCCAACCTTTTGCAATCGTTTGTGCTGTTTCTTTCTTCCTGTTCTTTGTATTTATGCTCCAACAATCTTTTATCATCCTAATTACCCAATCAGCAATAAGAAAAGAAATCGAATCAAAGTCAAAGTTTCTTTATGAATATGAAAATCAATCTGACTTACCTAGACCCTCTCTGAACAACCAAAAGCATGTTTTTTTTTTTTTTTGGAGCCATGGATAAATCTCCATGCGTTTGTCTCAGCTTCGTGCATGGGTAATTATGATGGGCTCATTTGGCTTCTTCCAACACAAAAAATGTTATGAGATAATTTGTATTTAAGTTCCCATTTGTCCTATTGTGTTTTTAACGAAAGAGGTTGTGATTGCAAGAACTTGTAATTGCAAAAAAAGTGTCAACAGTTTTAGTAGAAGCATAAATCCATATGAAAAGTCAAAGATTTATAAACACTATTTAAAAAAATCAAGCTGAAAATCAACTATAAAATAATGCTACAAGTATTAGGGTGTACTAGGGGTATTTGTGGTAGTTTTATAGGATGTACTTGGTTAATTTTACATTTTAATTAAAATATTAGGGTGTACTTAGATCATAGGGTGTACTCAGTTAATTTTAGGGTTCGTTTAGCAGCACTCAAAAACTAATATATAACTACTTTGTTGAAAAAATAAGTACTAATGCAAGATAATGAATATATATAATATATACTTATAAGACAATATAAGAATGTTTATATATATATATATTGGAAGTTAACTAAATAAATAAGTAGTGTGGCTTAAGATTTGTATAAATTTATAAGTATATAATATAATAATATAAAACTTAGTCCGTACAATCACTTTAATAGCATATTTATATATACTATACAGGGAGGGTTTGGGTTGGGGATTAAAATTCCATCCTCACCCCTTCCTGAATAGCATACCCAATAAATTTCCCGTACCCATCCCCATACTTGTTTTTTGTCCATCATACCGTTGAAGAAGACTCTTACCTACGGGGAAAATTGCCGTCCCTATCCATCCGCAACACTTTATTTATTTTATTTTATACAAACGATATTTAAGAAAAGAAGAGTCGAACTTAGGACCTAAGAATGTATGGATAAATACTGTTAATTACTTTAGCAACATGCCCTTTGCAATGCGTAATACCCTTGAATGCATTAATATTGTTGGTTCACCATCTATAAAATCGACGGCTTTTATTGATCCATTATGTCCCACTATTGAAATTTTGTGTGTGTGGAAAACGACAATCTTTTTAATTTTATTAATGATTGAAGCGATATTAGTGAGAGAAGATTCAAACACAGGAGCTCATATTCACCTCGACTAAAATAAATAAATAAAGAAGACATTTTTTTTTTGGACAAAAAAATAAAGAAGACATATGACAACTGTTTTCACATGCATAAGCATAACGCAATCATGCAGACAGGCTTCCGAATTGCTCAAAAAAGTCTTTCCATTCTTCTTATTTTCGTTTCCCTTTCTACCCTTCCTTCCAATATAAACAAGAGAGGAACCCACCATTAGACTTGGCAGGGTTATTTGGGGTAAAAACTTAAACTGGCCGGGGCATTTTGGACTCAAAAAACTATCTCTGCAAAATGCCAACCAAACCCACATCACCGCTTTTGATTTTTCCTCGGACCCACACGCATCTTCTGCTGCTCCTTCTTCTTTCTTCTTTCTTCTTGTTTTGGGAAGAATTAAAGAAAATAATTCGAAAATAAGAAAGAAAAGAAAAAAACAGGGGAGAAGGAAAGAGAGAGATATGGCGAGAAGACCGGACGAGGAATACGATTATTTGTTCAAAGTGGTATTAATCGGCGATTCGGGCGTAGGGAAATCGAACCTCCTCTCCCGATTTACTCGCAACGAGTTCTGCTTGGAGTCCAAGTCCACCATTGGCGTCGAGTTTGCCACCCGTACTCTCCAGGTCCACCATTTCTCCCTCTTTTTCCCTGTGAATATATATATTATCTACACACCCAATTTTGGTTGTATTTGTTACGAAACCGGATTTGATCTCGTTCTTTATGCTTGTTTTTTAATGCATTTTTGGTTGAATTTGGATCTGGGTTTTGTTAGAAATGCGTAATTGAACTAGGATCTGGATTGGTTTTCAATTTGTATAATGTGAAATTGTTGCAGATCTGCTAGTTTTCATGGTCATAGTAATGGGTTTGTTGAAATCTTGGCGGGGGATTCAATTTTGTGTTTTCTTCACTCTATAGAGGACCAAGCTCAATTTTTTTGATCTGGTTACTGTTTCTTTTGAAATCTAAGCGGAGCATATAGTTACTTTATTATTATTATTATTATTATTATTATTTTTAGTTCAAGAATTGAACAATGTGGAATAAAGATGGAGTTTTTTTTACTGAAACAAGAGAAACAATGCGCATAGAATTGTTTATCTAATATACAAAGCATTTGATTGATGAAATGATTCTGTATTTCATTTGGTTGTTTTAATTTTTGCATGCATTTTAGTGTTAGTGCTAATCATTTCATTGGAGATGATCTTCACTCCATCTCTTTTGACGTGACATTTTATGTTGACACCAAATTTATATACCGGACTTTAATTTTGAAAAACAAAGAGAGAAAGAAACTCAGTTTCCACTTTCGGAATACGAAAATTTTAGCTTCATAAAGATTCTGATTTAAACGTTTTTTCAAAGGAAACAGAAATACTATTAAAGTAAGGTGAACAAATATTTAGTAGCAAGATAGGCACTAGATTAAAAACCATCTTCTCATCCCCAAAAACAAAAGAAGATATTGTCAACAAACTGAAAATACCAATACCTCCTGACACACCAACCAATTGAAAGCCCCTCTATCCATATCCACCGAAATGCCCTTTCCAATATAGAGCTCTTCAAGGCTTTAGCACTCTCTCCACTAACTGGCTTAAAGCATAATGCCAGAGTAAGCAAAAAGGCTGATAAGGAATCACCCTGCCATAGGTTTTAGATGCTTCAAATTTCTCCCTTGGCCGCCCGTTTATCATCACCAAAAAATTCACAGATTTCAAATAATTTTGCATCACTCTCTTTATCTTTTGCCAAACCCTTTTGCCTCTAAAAGGACATCCAAAA